AAACATTTAAACATTCAACCGCATGGCCAGTACCATGCTTAAAAAACGCAGCGTATCGGATCTAAAAAGACCTACGGTCCGAAAATACATAAATGAGAAACCATAAACTGCAAGGGACCGCATACGATAAACGCTGCCAACGTAGGATCTACAATAGATCTCTTGTAGATCCTACGTTGGCAGCGTTTATCGTATGCGGTCCCTTGCAGTTTATGGTTGAAAATGATCACTTCTATAGTGAAAACATGGATAGCAAAGAGACGGTGAAAATAAGCCTTTGCATGGGAATATTTTTTTTCTGTCGATTGTAGATAGATAGACAGAAAGATAGTCTTTACGGCACTGTCAATTCCAAGCCCGCCCATGCCCCCCAGCGCCCGGGCATTTGATTGGCATTTGACAATTTGTTTTCAGAAGTACAAAATCCCCATGCTGGGGCCATGAGAAAAGTGAAATGCCCCACCCGCGGGACAGCGTCAAAATGATATTTTAATACCGATATTGCCGCGTACTCGTGAACGCTAATATAACGGGAGAAAAGTATCATCTAGCCTGCGAACAGGCTCCGGTGAGCCCGAACGAAGCGAGAGAGCCTGTAAATATTCCATTGATGCCGCCGTTTTATGATACCAGCTCCAGGTATCATGATATGATCGGTTAAATCGCTGATTGTTGACATCTTTGAGATGAATATTTAACAGATCTTTGTAAAATTATACGTCTCCAACGGTTCGTTACAATAGTGCATTTGCCGTTCTCTTTTAAAGGTTGCGGTCTCTTGACCTCTCGTTATTTCACATGTGATTCTGAAGGGTACTTCATGCTCTGTTATGAGGAGGAATTTTAAGTACAAGCTAGTGGAGTGGAGCCGTTTGGCGGTGCTATAGCAATCTTTTTTAGAGGTCAAAGGCATGGTTTCCGGACTTTCCGCTGTTATCTGCTTGACGCTTCGCAGAATTTGACACCTCTATCATGAGTTTATAATTTCTTTAGGCTCATGTCAGTATTGCAAAATATGTTTTAAGCTCTCTAAGTATTGGCTCTGGAGGGATAAAGCTAAGTTTGAAATATTCCGTGAACATGTTGCTTACTTGCACTCTATATTATGACGCCCGGCCCGGCTATTTGATTAGCTCGATTATCTTGACAGGTCTAATTACCTCGTTGACTGATTTGTTACAGGCTTATCGCCAAAGGCGGGTAGGCACATCAAAAACAAAGTCTACAGGCTCCCCTGTCCCCGCCCCGATCGCTTTGCCCTCCGAATTCTTCTGTTTCGCGCTCGCCGAAATTTTTTCCGTCCTCGCCGGGAGCCTGTTCGCAGGCTAAGCATCATCTATTTGGCAAATAGCTTGATAGAGTTTGATTCTGACTGTTACTCATGAACTCAACTTTCTGGTATGGTATTGTATAAAGCCGGAAGCATGGGTGATATGCTTCTGATAAAGCGTAATGAAATATTAATTCAAACGCTTTCAAAAGTAATGCACACCAGTCTCCGCAGAGATAAAGACGATGTTTGCAGAGAAAACCCATCGACAGAAGGCTCATTCCTTGAAACAAACTTGAATTATCTGTTTTATTATAAAAATGTCATCAACTTACCTTCGAGGGTTTCTATGAAATAATAATAATAACAATAACGTTAAAAAAAAAATTAGCACGACTTTTCATGAAATGATTAAGAGCGTTTTACATCATAAAAAATTAAAACTAATCCTAAAAGAGAGAAATTTACGAACAGTGGTTGCTAAACGATACAAAACCTGTTAAAATAGATAAAAATTCAATAAACAAAAATACTCAAAAACCTTCCAGGCCCTTTTGTCTTAACCAGCGACCCACACCATACTCGCTTCTCGCCTCGTGAAGGACCAACATGAATTTTTAAGGGTAGTGGTGTAGATATACGGATATATCTATCATCCCGAAAGCTAACCGTTAGTCAGACTTAATTTTGTTCATTTGCCGCTGTCTCCGTTTGGTGATGAGAACTCAACCTGTAGTAGTCTGAATATCAACTGTCTCTCACGTAGGGGCCAAACCACCCCCCAAATGTTTCGTCAGTTCTTGGGTATTTCACATTATTTCGCATTACTTAAAAAGTATTGACTCTTTCTACACCAAACTTGATAGGTGATCAGGTGACCTATTGCCAATTATATGTACGTGAAAAATGTCAGTAAATGTCAAAGTTGTGACGTCACAGTGATGACGTCATGCTTTTTGCCACTTTTGAAGTTTTTAATATGTATATTTTTTACAATGTGTTCGAAAGAGCACATCAAGGGGAGTTGAAACCTGAAAAAATTTTGTCCATATCATAAAAATTGAATAA